TTCGATAAGCAAAATTGTTATTCTAAATGTGTTTTTAATCTTATCGGTATAAAATTACCAACGTTTTCTCGTTTTTCTCGTGATTTTTTTCATGGTTTTTGAATTTCGTACAACAACAGAACGATTCCGAGTGTATTTGACCGACTGGAAAATGAAGCCAGGTTCTCCATATGCGCTGCCGGATAATCAACAAGAAAATCGTTGGACGAAATGAACGCGACGCGGACCGCTTGCTCTCTTTTTCTCTCTCTCCTCTTCTCGCGAATTTTTTGGCCGCTTTCCGCCGCCACGAAAAACAAACTTTTTCCGCGCTGCAGTCGAGTCTGTCGGCGCGGCAGATGTCACACCGAGGTAACGTGACACATGCGACGGCACACGCGACGACGCGACACGTCTCCTCGTCGTCTTCCCGATTTCGCCACACGTTTGCTATACGGCCACAATCGCGAAGATTTGCGAGAGAAGAGAGAAGAGAGAGAGAGAGAGAGAGAGAGAGAGAGAGAGAGAGAGGGGGGGAGGCAAACATTTGCGCGATTCTCGCGAGCAGCAAGCGACGCGAGCGTGCGCGTCGATGCACCGACACGTAAAGCACTCCCTGATGTTTGTCGACGTTTCCACCATCGAAAAGCGCGATACCTGTCACGATACCATTTCTCGATAGGTTCGTCAATGAAACGACACGACACCCATTCACCCCTCCCGAATATATGCGGCCCCTCGCGCGGAGAATACACTCTCGAAAGTAGATAGATTCTGAGAGTAATGTGTGTCAAGTACAAGCATTGTGAACATCCTACTTCGGATAAGAAGCTATCGTGGAAAGAGCCGAGTGTCGTTTCCTAATGTCATCTTCGCGAACAGACTTCGATACACGAGCAAAGTACGGCGGAACTTGCTTCTTCTATACGTTCTATGACAGGCTCGTTAAGTCTAGCTATTTTTCATCCCCGGCAGTCAATAACTTCATATTGGCGTATACGGGGTTATATGTATATGTGCGAAATGTATACGTTACTCGTGTCGACATGTCAAATGCAGATATTTTGAAATGAGAATATTCCACTCCAGGTAAGAACATATTACGCTCCGAAGTTTCCGCGTTACGTGTTTCCCTATATTACACGCTTACGTAATGCTAGTAGCTTAATCCTGTTCTAACGTTGCGCAAAACGCACCGCTGTATCTGCTTGTTCAGGCTGTATTGTACGATATTAGACCATTTCAATGCTAAGTTACTTCTATCTTTAGACTGTAATGACTAAACTAGTTCTACCAGCTTTGTACGATTGTAAACTTCCATTATTTCGGACAGTACTGTATGGTTCTAAATCATTTGTAGTCTCAAAATTGTCTAAATTACTATGTCTAGTAAATATATTATCATGTCTATCTTCAAGAAAAATATATTGCGAAATTATAACCGTAATTCTAATAGATGTTCAAAAACCTAGATAATATTGAAAAAATAAATTAAGTATTCAAACTGCTTTCTTTATAATATTTCATATACGTAATAACGTAATGAATACTTGTTTCTAATATTAGTACAATATATTTTTTAATGCTGATATTCACTGCTAAATCAAAAACTATAATCAATAATCGTAGTTTATAGAAAATAATTACAAACTGCATGTTTGATACTCAAGACAAGAAATCTTAGAAACGACAGAAAAGACGAGGAAATCGTATCGTGCAATTATACTCCCGTGTTCTATTTTATAAATAAATTGGTAAAAAAAAAAAACGTCAGTTTATACACTACGCTGACCATACATATAAACATCGCTTGTAAAATTCAACGTTGCTTCGAGCCGACCAGCAACATTTTCCAGTTTCACCAATGCGCGCCCACAGCGTCATAAACGTCGGAACCACAAAAAGGCAGATGCAAAAAAATCGAGAGAGAGAGAGAGAGAGAGAGAGAGAGAGAGAGAGAAGAGAGAGAGAGAGAGGAAGAAAGAGAGAGAAATAAAAAGCAAATGCATGCGAATTGTTTGTCGTATTTCGAAATTCTGTGCAGCGCGTGAGGCTGGGGACTGATTACAGTCGCAATACTCAGTGGAGCCGACATATGGCGCGATGCAATGATCCCGGTCGCGGCGGCCACGAGCGCGAGATCTGCATCCGTGATGCACACGATGATCCCGCTGTGTATCGACACGGGCACGATGGAACCAATCACTCACAACAGAGTGTAACAGTACAGAGCGTGATTTAATAATTCCACGGGCGCGCGCACGACTGCGCGCGTAGTCGCGTCTGTTTAAGAAGGATTCGTTGCAACTGCAATTTGCGACGTCGCAGGTTTCCTCGTTTCTCCATTTCGTTTGTCGGCGGAATTTTTACGATTTAAAAGAATCGCTCACTGTTTAGTTGAACGGTTTCACCGCTCGATATTGCGGAGATGCCTTGCTAGTAATAAAAATCTCACACACATATGCAAATTATTTATAATTCAAATATACACACTTATATAAATTGTTAATACAAAAGAAA